GCACACTTTGCATGAGAAAAAGTGGTTAGTCTTTAGATGCTGTGATGACAATGGGGTAGTCTTTCAGGCATGCCTGAAATTTGCTCATATAGTTAAGTCTCCTCTTTTGTTTTTGTAAATAGGGACATTATTTATCTCAGGGACTGGGGAGGCAAGGGCTTTGACATTTACTATTAAAGCACACAGAAGGGACAGAGAAGAGTGCAAAACACATGGGGAAGAACAGGCAAACAGGAGAGGAGTTATACTTGGTGATTTAGAGAGAACACATGCCCTGACACTTTTTACATATGGATATTCTGCGTGATATTCAGCTATTCCCTTGCAGTGTTTTTATATTTGTTCGAAATACCTTACATCAAAACCAACATACACTCATTCACACACAACCACTCTGTCACAAGTCCTTAACACACCTTGCCACCAAACTGGGAAGTACTTAATTCTCTTGTTGCCACACTTCACACTGGTTTACAGACGGTTTTTACAACCAGAACAGCGAATAGAAGGGGAAAACCAAGTAGCTCTTGCCAACACACAATGTGTGCTATTTGCAGCCACCTACTTGAGAAAAAAAACAAAAAACATTAGCGCTAACAATGACACATACATCAATGTGAGTAGCTCCCTGTCTGAAAAGACCATCATGAATTTCTGTGGTAGTTCATATTGGTTTATGCTGGTTAGCAGCCGTACTGGTTTGGAGTTAGAGGACTATCATTACATTTTATGAAGTTAATGTCTTGTCTATAATTTCTTGAAAACTTTTTTTTTTTCTAATTCTAATGCTTCTCTTGAAAAAAGGTAAATAGCCAGACTAATTGGCAGGTCAATTTTGAGTTTCCAGCAGCCAGCCCCACCAGTGTAACCAAACTGTCACTCTCATACTTTGGTACAAACTTGCTAATTTCCTGTGACTGCCTGCAGGCTGTATGTGAATGAACTGGTTTACTCACAAGTTACGACTGTGTAGTACAACCAATGGAAGGGACAAACACAAGTCAAAATTAATAGCAAAAATAATTACAAAAATGGCTCTGAAATTTACAGTTACTTCTGAGAAAATCCTGGTGTGATATTTTGTATATTATACAATAAAATCCACACATTTTCTTCATCCAAGTGTGGCATAAGTGTCCAAACATGTCCATATATTGTTTGGGGCCACTGTATATAAAGAAAGAAAAAAAGAAATGGTGAAGATAAAATGTGAAAGGAGATAAAGCCAAAGGAAAGACAGAAAGGGCAACAAAAAGAAGAGAAGGAAGGGGTCGTTTTAACATAGAGGTAGATCTGAGGCATGCCCTGAAGGGATGACTGGGCCTAGGGATTAGAAGGGAGTGAAGAAAAGGAGAGAGAGCTTGAGAGCAATCCCCCCTACAAAGCTAGAGACCCCCTCTGCTGAGACACAAACATGGGCAAACACTTTTGACAAACACTCAACTTCTCATCTGATGTGGCCCACAGCTCGAGAGCATCGCTTCTTTTTCTCAATTACTCACTTTCACTCATTTCCCTTTCCTCTTTCTCACTCTTTGTGTCCTTTTCATTTGATGACGAACATATCAAAGTTGAGGATTATCAAAGTAAGTGGTTTCAGTTGGAAGTCCTGCATGACTTGTTGACAGGAATGAGTGGAAGCAGAGCACCACAGCACCACACAATAAAGGTTTCCGGGCAATTTTCAACCAGGGGCTGCTTGTTAGGGTCAAAAATGCTAAACATGGCAAAATGCATTGGATTATTATTTTTTTTTTAATAAATAAATAAATAAAACAGTCTGACAACAGATCTGGGAGTCTGATTCTTGATTTATGATCTGATCTATCATAACAAATCACTCTACTCTAAAAACAAATTGGCCTAACCCTGCTTCTGAGACATCAGACTCACAAAAACATCCTTGACCACCACAACACAAACCACCACATGATAAAAAGCTCCCAAGAGGACTTCCAGGATCACAACCTGCTATCGCCGTGCAGAGACACACAAATTTCTCATCCATTTGTTATTTATTGGTTTGGACATTAAGCACAGCGCTATTCAAACCCACATTAGCATCTCATTGCCCCCTGTTAGTCATCTCATTCCCACATGCACTTAAAAACAGCAGGTACAACTTCTTTAGGATGCTAAAGCACCCTGAGGGTGAAGGGTACGGGCATTCCTTTCCAATGGCAGGCCTAATCTGAGGGTTTTATGCACATACGGTGGGTGGAAGGAGGGGGTGGGATGACATTGATGATAATCGCATGTCATCTCCGCTTGTTAATATTAGCTGGTGACATAGTGTGCTCAGTATGGTGGGAGAGAAAAGGGGAGGCTGGCAAAAGTGACCTGCTAAACTTCTGTTCTGCAATGCAGCCATGCATATACGAAGTGTGATAAACTCCTGTTTGGTGAGTGACTCTGAACTGAATGTATTGATATGAACTTGTGATGGTGGCAGTGGATATTTCATGATGCAGCAAGTGTTTTTCACAAAATTACACCTGTTTGATCAAAGCATTGCAAATGAGTTTTCATTCAACACATTTATGGAATCATTTTTTTTGATGATGTTATAAACATAATACAAATTTGATAAAGTCTGTGCTGCATGCTGAACAAATGAATTTAAATGAATTTAAATAAGCATGAATTTAAATAAGCATTTGCATTCAGGTTACTTGCCAAGCTCAATTTAGAGCATCTAGTATATCACTTGTTTTAAACAATTTATTTCATTTTTAAAGCAAAACCAACAATGTACAAATTTGTTCCCAAAAGGCAAGATAGAAACAAGAGATAAACACAGACCCAAAAACTCATGCTGTGGAAATTGTTTCTAATCACACTGAGAACTCTATCTTATCAGAGAACACCTTATCATTACAAAGCTCAAATTTAACAGTTCAAATGAATGTTTATTTAATAACAACATTAACTAAAGGCAGAAAAAAATCCATAAATCTCTGTTATGGCCGTTAAATTTTAGAGATTAAAAGTCATATATTCCTTTTATCATGTGTTGACACATAGCATGCAAATTAATAGGTCACCGGATAAAAACCTACATATTACAAAGAATATAACAAATTATTAATTCCATTTAATTGTATGGGAAAATTGCGTTCGTATCAGCGCTGAATAAAGCCCTGCGTTCGTAGCTATAATACAGATTTCAATATAGACAATTCACTGGGAAACGATTCTCGTAAAATGCATTCAAAAAGCAAATGCAATAAATAAATAAATAAAAAGACAAAATAAAAGGAAAGCAAACCTCAAACATACAATATTATAGGCAGAACGAGCAGGCCCCGTTTACTTTTATTGATCTTATAATGAACGCGTCTTATTATAATAAATTACAACTAAAATGTGTTACATCACAAGCAGCTGTACAAAACCTAAAATAAATAAATAAATAAAAAAACACTTAATTTAAAAACATTGAATTTAAATGTGAATTTGAATTTAAATATGAGATTGTATGCCGTCAATTCGCACGCAGGTGTCAGGAGAGGTTTGGCGGGACAAGGTTGTTCAGAAGCCTCGTCGCCGAGCTGTGAGTCTTTTCTGGGCTTCGGTGTGTTAAAAGTTTGGAAAAGTTTAAACCAAACAGCTTATCTACACAAGCGCTGTGACACAATAATTTTCACACCACATTCAAATGTAAATGACGTTCATTTCCAATAATAAAAGAAGAGTCAGATGCAATTATTTCACTTAGGCTATTAGGTTTCCCTCCTGGAGTGACGGCAACGGACAAATTGGTAATAATTACACTGTTAAAATGTTTCCATTATTATCATAACATGTTTGTTTCCATCTATTAAATTGTCACAATCATTTCTACTCGATGTTAATAGTTTTCTTAAGCAGTGATTGAATTCAAAATGTGTGGAAAAAAGTGCAATGAATTAACAGTATCACTGCAGGCTTTAACTTTGATTTTACTTGCAAATAAACGTCAGTTTGCAATTTTCTGTATTCAATTATAAGTACACTGTCTCTACCTAAATAGAAAAAAATATTTTTCATATTACTATCGCACATAATTGTTTTGAAATGTTTGCTGCGTCTGTTCTATTAGTTTTAATCAAACTTAGTTTTTTGCCCCCCCCCCCCCCCCCCCCCAA